GTCCTCTGTGATAGCAGCCCCGGGACACTCACACGTGGTCCTCTGTGATAGCAGCCCCGGGACACTCACACGTGGTCCTCGGTGATGGACGACGTCCCCAAGGCATAAGCACTAGGCTGGTTGTTCTAAACCAGAAAGAGGTCTTCCCACTGTGGTTTCCCGCTGGGGTCACTTAGCAGGAGCATTTTGGAAAGGCAAAGAAGGAGCTTCACTTTCAGGGTCAAGCTGGCTTAACCTCCACTCGTCTACCTGTGAGTCTGAGTCCTGAGAGCAGAACTCTCTTAGGGACTCGACTGCTCCGCTGCTAGGTGAAAGGTCAGCGATGCGAACCTATCAGCCACCCTGTGGGAGCCCAGGCCAGGGAATCAGCTCCCTTCAAGATGACACGTAGAATTACACGCCACCCACAGGCTCATGACGAGTGGTACTGGAATCAAAACAACCGCACAGCGGGTTCCAGGAATCCATCAGCAGGGACGCAGTGATCCAGTGGGATCCAGTAGGACTGCCCTTGGTGGGATTTGAAGACTATAAGTCCTAATGGGGGTAAAACACCTCATCGTTGTCTCATCGAGCAGCCAGTGGCTTCAAACTCCTCACCCTGTGCTTAACAGCCCAACACATAACCCAGGACAGTGAGTTGGAGCTGGAGTTTGCTCAGCCAAAAGAAACAATAAGAGGCCTTTATAAGTCCTCTCAGATGAAAGAGAAGAAAGAGGAGGGGCACTAGCATTTGAGTCAGAAAGGATCCAAGAAACCAACCCTTCCAGCCCCCGGGAGGGGCACGATGACTATACTCACGGTTTCGTTCTGCTTACTAAACACGGGCATGGCCACTGTGGTCATTAGGACGAGGCCCTGATCGTCGGTGAGCTGGGTGGAGAGAGAAAAACTGGTTACGCGGAGCCATCCCTACCCCTCGAAGAGCTGCAGCGGTGGGGGCCGGGATGTGCCCTCGAATGGCTTTAGTCGGGGAGGGAGCTCTCTCTCTCCGGATTCCCGAGAAAGGGCCAGCCTCGGCTAGGAAAACAAGTTCCCTTGCCTGCAGCGCTTCAGCGGTACCGTCCACTGCTCTCAGCCAGTCCAGTGGAGAGGGCAATCTACTTCCACAAACCAGCAAACGAAGACCATGTGGATCAGAAAAGACGTCCCTCTGACAGTGCCCTGGGAGATGAGCCCGTGCGGCCGTGGTGGGTCTGAGGGCAAGTCCGTTGAGCTGGGCAGCTCACCGTTGGGAAGACGCAGCGGGGCCTTCCGTGCTCTGCTCAGCTGCCCATGGGCGGCCACGAGGCAGAGCCGAGCTGACAGCAGTGAGCAAGCACTGGGTGTCCTGTGGAGCGCCGCTGTGTGCACTCCTTCCCACCTGACCCCCCTCATACTCCTGACAGCCACAGAGAGGCCGGCCGGTACTGGCGCCCACTCCCCACGGGAGTGGAGGTGCCACTTTCTAGTAGTTATACGTCTCTGTCAAGGTGAGCCTACACTCTTCCATGACAACCCAACCAAGACATGACTCTAGGGGCCCCGAGGGACTGGGCGTCCATGGTGGGAGTCTTGGCCATCAGATGGGTAACTAAATGAAGTGGACATTTAGAGTGGACAAGAACCAAGTCAACCAGCATCCAACTGCGGTGGGAACATGGCTCCACCATCTTGCTGAAAACACCCGCATCCACCATGGCCACCACTGGAGGCCTGCTGGACCGTCTGCGAGGGCAGCACCGGTCCACAGCAAGCACGGCTCGCAGAATGCAAAGTCTTCTGATACTCGGACCTCCTGAGAAACTTTGCAACACTGTCAAGAAAGTGGGTTTGCACCGACCCCTAACTATGAGCAGCTTCCACTTTGCAACTCAAATCACAACAGCAGGCTGAGCTCAGACATACCGACGACAATCAGGAGACTGGGCCTGTCACTCCTGCAGCCAGGACACGTCACTCACCAACCACTCACGTCTGTGGCGATACAGAGACAAGACCACTGGATATCAACTTGGAAATATTTAGCCAGTATCAATATTTAGCCAGCGTCAATTAGTCACAGGCTGAGCCCTGGTGGCATAGTGTTGGGCTGCTGCAATCTGCATGGTTGACAGTTCAAAACCACCAGCAGCTCCTCTGGAAAAAGACTGGGCTTTCTACTCCTGTAACCAGTTACAGCCTTGGAAACCCACACGATGAAAATATAATTAATTACTGCATCATTATTAATTATAATAACAGTCCCACCGTATAAGTAACACCTATGGAAACCAAACCAACGAAGGGTGGGGCCTGTCAGAGAAGGAAGACGTACACTTTGGCACCAAAACAAACAATGGAGACCTGGTGAGCGCACCCCCCACGGGGGGACGTTGAGTGGAGAGAACAAGGTGGTCCCAGTGAGGGTGTGGCTCGCCCAGACTTCCTCCTGGGAACTCTAATTTGTCGCGAGCCCCAGGCTCACAAGGAAAGGCAGTGAGCTCCCTCCAGCCCCACTCACACAGTGTTGTGATCCCCACCACTCTCCTAGGGCGTGAGGGATCATGTGGCAGACCCATTTTTCCGGCCCCAGTTTGGACAGGACCATGGAGCCTAACCTTTAGGCTTTGTAATATCTACCAGCGTCTGAAAACTGCAGGACCCCAGGAACAGCACTGGCGTAGCATGCAGAGCCTTTTCTGGGTCCCGCGCCGGCTGGCTCCATCAGTCCCGTCTCTACAGCTCTGAGCTTTTTGGATTCTCAACATTTCATGGAGGAGGAACATTAGTTTGGAAGCTCATTTGCATGGTAAGCACTTTACAGTCAAAAGGCATCAGTACGCCCACCGTAGGAACTGCATACAGCCAGTGGCCAGTGTCCTTTCCAGACCACCAAGCAGAAGTGATGCAGCGAACCCCAGCCAGGAACCTTCTATCCCCTCACACCAGGGGGTCCCTGCTCCTCTGAAACCCCCGGCCTGTGGGGGCTGTTGAGGCAAGAGTCACCACTTATGATTCATACAAGTGGCTTCCAAGAAAAATGCAGACATTGAATCAACACTCATTTTCCAAGGGGCAGTGATGGGAGAGGGGCCACTCCACAGTCTAGCTGGACAAAATCCCATTAACTTCAAGTCCAAGTGGGAATCCTAAAATGAACTGCCACTCAATTACACTCGCCCAGACTTTGAACGGGCCTCTGACTGGCTGGGTTTTGGTACTCTGTTGTATAATAGTTGTATATTATTCCATATCCTTCATTTCCTATGCTACATAATGGGGGCTGTTCTGGTATCAAAGGAAATGATGAATAATAATACTGAACATCTGGTTTATAAAACACAAACTTGCTCAACAGATTGACTGCTTCCTGTGGGCTCCACAAGTTAATCATGCACGTGGGCTCCTCTGCATATGAATTTGGACCCATGTGCAAGTGCACACGGTGACACTGGCCCCTGACTCCTGGTGCCTGCTTGGGTTCCTACGGATGGCTGTGTCAGCGGTGCGCACGGCCCCAGGACGAGGCTCCAGAGAGGGCCGCTCCACTATATCCGGGACTTCGCGAATGTTGCCTTGGGTCCAGTCACTTACTCTTTGCTCCCTGAACACACCCTACACACCCTAAACACACACACAGAGTGAGCAGCCCCTGAGCAGTCCCAAGAGATAGGTGCCAAGGCCCATGACTTGGGAAGATCACTGGGAATAAGACAGGTCTCACTCCTAAGGAAGCCAAGTCCATGTGAGTAGACCTCAAAACTCCTGTGCAGCAGATGGAGAAGAGCCGGGGGGACGGTGCGGGGGGCACCAAGGTGTCCAGGTGGAGCAGAGCTGTGACTATTTCCAGGTGAACCTGGGGGCCCGGGCAGCTGTCAGCATGGGTTTTCTGTCTGGTTTGTTTTCCTGTTCTGAGGACCCCCTTCCCCGCACCAGTGTGACAACATGGAGAGCGAGCTTCTTGCCACCAATCCTGGGTGGCTGCTGCCTTTTCCTGAAAGCACTCAGGCAGCAATGCAGAGGGGCTCTTCTCAACAAGGAGCAAGCTCATTCCTCACCCTTCTTTCTTCTAGAGCAACCACCCCCTTTCTCAAGGAGATCCCTCCATCCTGGTTCCTTCCTCCAGGAGACTCTCCTGAGGTCTCAGCCCCTCCCGCTGGGCATGCCACCCCACCCCGGTGGCCTAACCAAGCACCAGAAACCCCCTCAAGGCTTAGGCATGGGGCTGGAGGAAGCAGCCTGAGACCTTCTTCATCCAGGGAGGAGACAGACTCTTCCTCCCCCCATGGATGGTTTAAAAAATGAAAGGCGTTGGCCATGCCCCGTCCACAGAGAAGGGACTGAGAAAATAAGCCAGCCCAGCAAGCGGCAGGAAGATGAGCATGGATTGTGTGTGTGTGTGTGTGTGTGTGTACCCAGATGCACAGGGGAGCAGTGTGGTTCCAGTCGTGGATGCCTACATCTCTAGGAACACCACAAACTGTGTCTTGAGCCCTAAGCTTTTCATTTTTGCAGAAATACACTTTCCCTTTTTGCTCAAATGAGCATGAGCCGGATTTTTGAATCTTCAAAGGGCAGACTTCTGACTCACACAGGTGCCCATTTTGGCAGATGACCCAGGTCGCTGTAGGTGCTTAATGAGGTAGCCCCAAGGGTCATGTTCCATGCACACAGAGACACATGACAGCCAGCAGAGCCAAAGGGAGAGTGGCAAGGTCTCCTCTCAAAAGGGAGGCTGTGGACGTGTGTCTTCCCATCACGCATGCATACATGCACGCATGCTCTCCCTCTCCCACTCGTGCCTCACTCAACTCCTCACTCACTCACTGCTTATTCACTCAACTCCTCACTCACTCACTGTTCACTCACTCAACTCCTCACTCACTCACCCAACTCCTCACTCACTCACTGCTCACTCACTCAACTCCTCACTCACTCACTCAACTCCTCACTCACTCACTCAACTCCTCACTCACTCACTGCTCACTCACTCACCTCCTCACTCACTCCCTCAACGCCTCACTCACTCACTACTCACCTCCTCACTCACTCACTCCCTCAACTCCTCACTCACTCATTCACCTCCTCACTCACTCACTCTACTCACTCATTCAACTCCTCACTCACTCACTCAACTCCTCACTCTCAGTAGTCACTCAACTCAATCACTCACTCACTCAACTCCTCACTCACTCATTCACTACTCAACTACTCACTCACTCACTCCTCACTCACTCACTGCTCACTATCATCAAATCAATCCCAACTCATGGCAACCCTATAGGACTGCCCTGAACAACTGGCCCCTTTGGATTTCCAAGACTGTGATTCTTTACGGGAGTCAAAAGGCTCAGCTTTCTCCTGAGGAGTGGCTGGTGGTTTTGAACTGCTGGCCTTGCAGTTAGCAGCCTAACATATAATCACAGCTACATCCAATATCCCCTATCGTGCCCAAATAATGAATAATGACTACTATGTATATGATGTAAGATCTTAGGATGAGATCTTAGACTCATACTAAGATTTCAGTGTGAATTTATGTCAAACCTTCACCATGAGTAGGAGTTGATCTGCTCTGAAAAACAAACAAACAAACAGCCTAAGGGGAGTGGTCACAGAGTCAACTTCAGTCAACAAGCAGGACAGAGATGTTCACACCTACAGGGACAGAGACTGGAAGCTTGGCAGGCGGTGTACCTGTGCATGGGCCAGTTAGGACCATGGGGCTGCCTGGGCAGCCTCCGTCCTGAAGGAAATCGTCCTGCTTGGCTCCTGGGCCTTGTGCCTGACATTCTGCCTGTTGGTCACTCGGTGATTGTCCTGTTGCTTCAAGAACTGCAAGTGGTGCTCCTCAGCAGTGGCACATACCACTGTGTGCTCATGAATTGTAGATACAGATCCTCCATGAAGGA